AGCATTGTAGTGCTTCAAAATTTCATTAGCCATGACTCCATTAGCAAAGACATGATTCAAATTCTCAACACTATAATCACTACATAACAGTAGCATTTAAACGTCGAATACCTCTGAGCGTACGTCCATTAAATGGAATCCCCATGAACGAACCATAAAGTGCACGTGCGAAATCCATGAAGTCATATTGCACGCATTACCCTATTTACTCGTGCGGCTCAAGCTTCACATAGTATCCTTTTTCTCTCTCTCCCCCTCTTTGTTTTGGCAAAGTTTATGTATCGTCCCCATCTTTATGTTTTTCTCCCTCTTTTTTCTACTTTTTTAGGGTTTTTTACATGGTTTTAAAAAATGATCCAAAAATGGAATCATTTTGACCACTGGTTTTTGGGTTGAGGTTCGACCATCCAGTTAGAATGGATAGCCCATTCTTACAACAAAAATTTTAAAAATAAAAAGGGCCAAAAATTATTGAATGGTTGACTGCCCAGGTCAATGGGTCGTTGACCGATTCAACGTTTTTGGCCAGAGATCGGGATTGGGGTAAAATGGAACCGGTTGCCTGGACGGTTCCTGGGCTGAACCCATTCAGGTCAACGGCGATTCAGAAACTATGGTTTTTTATGCTTTTGGATTTTCACTCTTCAAAGGTCTCTTCTGTTATGGGCTTTATTCGAGTGTGTGTGGTTTTCTGCTTTTGTTTGTTTGTTTTTTTTTTTGTCTTCTTCTTCAAGATCCTCCAAAAGGGTCTAGGGTTTACCACCATTTTATTTCTTCCATTTTGTTTTTTCCTTTGGGTTTTCTTGTACAATGTTTCTTTTTTTTTTCAGTTTTCTTACAAAGTGATCTACTTTGTCTCTTTCTTTGATTGCGCGCATGTGTGTTTAGCTCCGTCTCAAAGCAAAACTTTGGACTTGATTTTCAGATTTTTTTTCCTTGGTTTTTCTAGTTTGGTAGATTTATCACCTTTTTTTTTTTCTGTGTTTAAGGTCACTTTGGATTTATCTTTCAAGGATTTGGGATCCCTTGCAACGTCCACCCTTCCCATGACTATGACTACAAAGTTATTTCGTCTAATTACTGACATCTAGAAAAAATGACCTGGAAATGGAACCGTTCTGGCCACTGGTTTTCAAGTCGACGGTTCAATCGTCCAGTTTGAATGGACGACCCATTCTGACAACAAAAATAAAAAAAAATAAAAAATAAGAATGGCCAAAAACTGTTGAATGGGTGGACGGGTTGACTGCCCGGGTCAATGGGCCGTTAACCAATTCAATGGTTTTTGGCTAGGGACCGGGTTGAAATAAAACGGAACTGGTTCCCTAGACGATTCCCAGGCCAAATGGTCCTACCATCTGGGTCAATTGTGTTCTTTTATATGAGATGCTTTGTTAAAACAATATTTAAAATCCAAGCACGTGATGATCTCTTTTAAGTCTTTATATGAGTTTCAAGACTTGAATATTTATAATTGCAAGTTTCTTATTAAGAAACCATTGCCTTTTTTAATGTATCAAATAGCAATGTTAAAATTCCAATCCAACCCCTGCGAACTAGTTAACTTATTATCACGAGTTCTAATCAAAATTTTAGGCAAAAGAAATAGAGAACTCGTTGTTGGGGTTTATATTCCACACTGGTTTATCATCTTTATCATTGAGAGAAACTTGTGATTCCCTAGACAAGTCCATGGTAATCTGAAGAGATTGATCAACTGAATTGAAACACCAGCTTCCATCAACATGTAACACTTGGTTTGAACATTAGGCTGTGTTTGGTTGCAAAGCAAATAAATTTGTACTGATACAAAATTATGGCAATGCAAATGATTCAAGTGTAAATTCTGACATATTTTTGTTTCAAATTTTAACTTATTTTGTTTGATTGCATTATAAATGAAGTAAATTATGACATGAAGCAGAATATAATAAAATCAAAAAGAAAATTATATAAGAATTTGCATTTTTTCATTTGCACTCCCATGCATTTGTACTAGTGCAAATAAAATTGCCAAACAGAGCCTTAGTATCATTAATCTGTTTCCAATTATTATACCAAAAATAAAATTTACCTTTTTCTTGTCAACCATGGCAATATTGTAAAGGATCTCTTTCGTATTTTTCCAAAATTTAGAACAACTCATTGGTTTTAAGAGAAAAAAAAGGCAAAGAAGACATGTTGACATGTTTAGAGAAGAACATGAATTCAGTCCAAAACAAAGGCTTGAGCCCCCCCCCCCNCCCCCCCCCCCCAAGAAATTAGCAAAATATTAGTAGAAGATAGAACCCTTGAAAACTACCCAAGAAAAATGTTTCTATTGACACCCCTATTTCCTGCTCAACAGTTGGTCTGTGCTTCGACTGGCTTCTATTCTATCTCTGTAATGTGAGTAAATACTAAAAGAATTTTGCCTTAATTAGGGTGCCTTGAAAGAATCATGTCTGCCTCGCCCATTGGGGGAAGAGAGAGGCAAATGATTTGCAGCTTTGTCTCAATTAAGGGTGTAAACGAATCGAATTTGAATCGGATCAAGCAATATTTGAATTTGAATCCAATTATAAATTCTGATATCTGAATTCAAATTGATATCCGACGGATATTGGAAATTAATATCCGAATCCAAATCCGATTAAATATTTGATTCAAATTCGATTAATTGATTATTTCAGACAATTAATAAATATATAAAATAAATATTTGGTTGATATAAAGTATATAAATATATAACTTAATTATTGTATATATAAATTATATAAAATATTTTATATATTATATATAAGAATTAAATAATTGGTCAAATTTGAATATTTATCGAATTTAATCAGATCATATTTGAATTCGAATCTGATCAACTATTTAGTACGTATGAATAAGATATCTGAATTCAACTGATTAGATATTCAAATTATCCGAATTTGATTCGATTATGTCGAATATCAAATTTGAAATCAGATTTTCGAATAGCGTTTACACCTCTAGTCTCAATCATGCCATTATCACCGTTGAATTGGAAAGTGATAACAAAGTGTTGATTGATATTCTTCTTGATAAGTTTAATATCCGCATAAGATCATGTAATATCATGTGTGAAATTAAAAAGAATAGGTTAAACTGTCTTACGTATTGATTAATGTATTGTCTTCTTGTTTATGTTTGGCTTTCAATGCTTGTGGGCTGGGTTGAGAGTGTAAGGAAGTGTGTTCTTTTGTTGGGTTTTGGGGATAAGGCGGGTTATGTTCTTCCGTGTATTATTTTACTTTCCTTTTGAAGTTTGCTGATTAATAAATTCTAAGGTGGCCCCCTTCACCTGGAGTAAATTTTGGAGTTAAAACTTAAAAGAAAAAGAATAGGATAAACTGTCTTTAAATTTTCCTCATATCCAAAATGAAGTAAACCGTGTTTCAAATTGCTTGGGCAATGGAGTAATAGATCAACAGAACATCATTATCCATACTTCATCAAGTTTCTAATGAATTGATATATTGATTAGAGAAAACTAGCATCAGCTTCTTAATTTTTCAAATGGGATAATGTTTGTTTTTCTTAACTCGTTGTATTTTTACTATTTTAATATTTTTTGGGGGGTTAGGCTGAAATGATAAGCTGGTGTGCCTTGTATATGGATGATTGGATTTTGGGGCAAGACAAGCTGTGTCATCTTCTGTTTTAATATCTTATTTTGTTTAGATAAAATTTATAATGCTTGAAATACATGGTATAGGAAAAGTTTTGATCAATTAAATATTTTTAAATGATGAAAATCCACTTAATTGTTTACCACTTTTATAATATTATATGATTTGAATCTGGATCATCTATCAATAGAATAGGTTTCAACTAGGGGTGTAAATGGATCGAATTGAATCAGATAATATCCAAATTTGAATCCGATATTCAATTTCGATCGATATCCAATAGATATTGAAAATTAATATTCGAATTCAATTAAATATTCAAATATTCAATTCGATTCGAATTCAATCAATAAATTATTTTAGGTAATTAATAAATATATAAAATAAATATTTTATTTATATAAAAAAATATATTATTTATATAATTTAATTATTTTATATATAAATTGTATAAAACATTTAAATATTTTATATGCTATATATAAGAATTAAATAATCGATCGGTTTTGGATATTTATCGAATCAAATAAGATCATATCCGAATTCAAATCCGATTAGTTATTCAATATGAATAAGATATCCAAATTCAATTGATTAAATATTTAAATTATCCAAATTCAATTTAATTATATCAAATCTCCATATTCAAAATCAAATTTTCAAATACCCTGATTCCAACACTCTATCAACATGATCTGACGCCACACAACTCATACATGATGGGTGTCAATCTCGTCGTAAAATATGTGGTGTCAAATTATATTGGGAAGAATCCCCTCTCGCATGATCTATTAATAAGTGCTTTTTTTTTTTTCTTTTTAACTTATGGGTATAACGTAGCAAATTTACCATTCTGATTTATACACGAGGCTGAACGGAAATTTTCATATCTTATATATTGCCCTCGTACAAGGAACGTTTGAAGCGGGACAAGGAAATACGGTCATGCTTTGATTTAATAAAAGCAGTTTCAAGAGACAATAAAATAATATTTTTATTTCATTTTTCTGAGAGTTTGTCAATAAAATAAAGTAATCAATAAGACATTTTATTTCATTACTCTGGGTTAGTTTGGTATTCTCTACTTCGTAAGTTCGTATGGGGCCTATAGGCAAGTTTCGATTTCCCTCTCATTTAGAACAGCGTATGTTTTTTTTTTTTTTTTTAATTCAGTAAAGAAATAATATTAAAACGAAGGTGAAAAAGAACGGCTTCGTTTGTCGTTCGTCTCCCTCATTCCTTTCTTCGCTCTGTACATCCTCCTATCTGTATCTGTCTCTGCACGACGCTTATGGGTTTTTGATTTGCAGGACAATACCCAAGAAATCGTGGATTGTTGACTCCATTGTCGTACTTCGTATATTATCTCAAATGGTTCAGCTTCGGCCAAGAGAAAGTCGGGCTTTTTCTGGGTTTACAGAAGCCGAGGTAATGTTGCTTATCTTCCATCTCCGCTGTTGAACCTCTGTAGCTCAGTTGATGATCTGGGTCGCAATGGAACTACTGAAACCGTATCAACTCGCCTATTTTTTGCTTATACTTTCTTTAGACCCCCTACTGGAAGGGTGAGGGTTGTGGATATGTTTCTTGTAGCAGGACCACTACATTCAAAGAATGAGACTGTCCATTTCCTGACTCTACGTATCATTGTAAAACTGAAAAGCTCTTTTGTTTACTGCCAAACCGACAAAGACACGCATTCAAATTTTAGTTTGTATTCCTTATGTTTATTCATTTCGTGTGCCGATTGTCTCTTCATTGGGAATTCTACTATGTAATTCTTTTGGTTTCAGGGCTCCTGGGTAAGTTTGGATTGGGGTGTCAATATACTTTTCATTTCAACTCCTTAACTTGCCATGGAAATATGATTCGGGTATTCTTACACCTCAAATCAGATGCTTTTTAGTTCATACGAACATGTAGATTTATCTGGGGCACATAGATGATGATGATGTTATATTAGAAGTTTCCATAATGTTTTCACACGATATGGGGCTATTAATAGCATACGCACATACACATACACACACACAAGAAAGGAAATGACTTTAAAGAAGGAACAGAGGATACATTTTATCCACACTTAAAAGGTTTAAGTTCAAGATATAGTATGCTTCTCCAGCTTTTTTCACATTCTTTATAATCTTCTACCACAAATCCCTTGATCTAGTTGTAAATGTTCTGCTTAAACTACATTTATAGTCATATACAGTGTGCAAGGTGAGAGAATTATTTAATCAATTCATTGTTTCTGCCTGCCTTCGAGGACTCATTGCTCCTGGGAATTGATTAATGGCCACTGACTATCAAACTCAAAACAGAAAAAAGTAATTTTATTCATGACCAAGAACTTTGGAATTTGGGGCAGAACCATTACACAGAAAGAACTGATCATGGTGCAGTCACTCTTTTTAAAAGCATTTTTGGAAGTTTTGCATTGACAGGACGATAAACCATGTTTTCATATCACATGTTTTGTTATCTTTTTCAATGGTATAATCTCCTAGTACAAAGAGGGATAGAGGGATAGATAGGATAATATGCATTATTTCTGAGAAAAATACGGGTGATGGGACTTTCTTTGACCTTTACATATAAGAAAGCGATAATGCACATGCCTTCAGAACATAAACATTGTTTGTTTTCTTCCTATCAAATGATAATGTAGAATGAGATTTAGTCATCTCAAATAGTACCTTGTCATAGAGAAGGCAAAAAATATTATGGCACTTTACTAGAGCTGCTACTTTGCGGAGCTTATGGAGTCAGAAATGTAAAGATTATTTGAGGACAAGAAGCAAAATGCACACTTATTGATAGACCTCATTATGGTGAGAACTGCTCATCAGTTATTGTCATGCGAGGAATTTAAAGGAATTACTTTTGATAATATAGTTAGAGGTTGGCAGACTATTGCAGGACTCTTAGAAGACAAGCAAGAATGATGGAATGGAGCGTACAGGAGCTAGGATGAAGTAAGTTAAATTTTGATGGGTGCAGCTTAAGCAATCCAAGTGCATCTAGTATTAGAGGAGTAATCAGAAATGATAGGGGGAATATTCAACTTAGTTTCTCAGGGATCACTGGGGTTGGAAACTCATTAGATAGAAATGTTAGCTCTACTACAAGGGGTAAAGTTTGCTTCAACTGTTGGATGGAACAAATTACAAGTGGAAGGGGATTGTCAAGTGGTAATTAACCAGATGTATTTAGGCGAAGATGTATCATGCAGACTAAGATTCTTAGTTAGGGAAGCATGAGCACTAGTATCTAACCAGAATTTCTCATTTAGGTGGGTTCCTAGAGCTGCAAATCTATTGGAAGAATCTCTATTTAGGCCAGTGTTTAGAAGGGGTAGTCTTGTGTAGGGTACTCCAAGGCTGGGATATACTTGTAAAGAACATACATGTTGAGACTTTAGAGAGGGCAGTTGTAGTTTGCAACTTTGCATACTGCCATCTTTGTAGGTACCTTGCTATCAACTTTTGGATAGAGAGAACATTTTTGACTCATTAGTGAAATCCTCATTACTGTTGCTTATCCCCCAAATGAATATAGTAGAAATGTAGAACGGAATTTGGTTATTGAGTTATACTTAATGCTTAGCTTCAGGACTGATTAATTTGCCCATTTTAATAGATAGAGAAAATGGAGAAGGTACTTATGGAGGCAGGACAAAACCCACTGAATCAAGATACCTGCCAAAAGCTTGCACGCAGTTTTAGGTGAGTTCCATCCTTACCATATTCAACTTTGGTATTTAATTAATTAGCTGGTTAATTAAGACTTGAATATAGCGCCTAATTTATTTATTTATTTTGCTTGAAAAGATTTGTGATGTTTTCACAGTAACCTCTCATTTTATCATGGTTTATCCTTGCAGTCGTTCTGCAGGTCGTGCTGGAAAACCTGTTGTAAAGTGGAGACAGGTTCATTCTGCACCCTCCTTGCCCTTAACTTGAACATACTTTTACCTTTTTCACTGTTTCATGGCTTCTATTGTTGTTACCATCTTTCAGATTCAAAGTTGGTTTCAAGATAAGCAGCAAGAATTAGGTGCCAAAGTGCCTTCATTGGCTATTGTCCCCAAAGAATCGATTGATCTCCCTAATGCTCTAGATTCAAACAATCAACCCGAGGGTTCTTTTGAAAGGCCTAAAGGTACTTTGTTTACTTGTTAATTATGTTATAATTAATTTCATGTTATCTTTTCTTTATTTAGTCAATAATTTTCTATATTCTTCTCCTCTTGTCTTAATTTTCTGTATGCCTTCTCCCAGATGGTATGCAACACAGTATTTCTTTATCTTGCTTATGGCATTAAGTATTAATGTTGACATTTTAACTTGGTTTTGGTTGGTTGGGTTTTGTTGGTCTCGTTCTGCTAAAGCAAATCAGCCTTTATCTTTTTTCACCTTCATTATGCTTCCTTCCCCCCCCCCCAAAAAAAAAAGAAAAAAAAAAAGAAAAAAAAAGGAAAAACAAGAAAAACTTGAATTTAGAATACTTTTTTTTCCTCCAAAAGAAGTTGTTTTCACACACAATGGTCTTCTGTGTTTCCGTATCATTATGCATCAATTCGTAACAATGATTGGATGTTAATTAACAACATTTTGGTTAATCAATAATAATACCCATTCAACATCCTGGCTACTCAATATTCTTCTTTAAAATAAACTTCTGACTGTTTGTTATGGCCTGAAAGAGAAAGTCCGCCTGGTGAGTTGAACACTTGAATCTCGAGTACAAGTATAATTCTCCAAAACCCAGAAGAACACAGAAGAAAAAAACATTTCTTTGAAACCACTGCATTATCTTCTTGGCGTCCCTGAGTATTGCTATCACCTTTCTTTGGTTGTGGCTACTGCACATGGAAATACCACTGGAGGCTGGGATAGTGAACTTACAGCTATCAAAATTTTAAAGGCAATGATTTCAAGAAAGAAGTAGACAAGTTGGCTTTTAGTGGAAACCCATCTATTATATGCTCAAGGTCAACAGTTGCATTTTTTCAATGTCAATTCCTCCCTGCCTGAGTGCCTGGTGTTGACTATTATATTGTCATCTAATCGGGGATAACAAGCCCACATTCTGTAGGACCTGGTTGAAGGCCATGGATGATGACAAATTGTAAGTAAGCTGAAAATTGGCGTTTTGGTATTTTATCCCATCTGATGCTCCTGATAATGGTAGGTTCTTTCTCAAATGTCAAATGTTTGTTGATCCTTTACCCAGTCCTGTATTGGTTCTAGTGGGGTCCTAAGAAACAGATTTTGCACCATATTTATGGATCCTGGGTCTGCATACAGGCAAGGTTCAGAGTATGGATATGCTTGATGCAAAATTTTTACATATTGGGCGTTTCAAATGGCCATTAAATATAAGATTAAAAATTAATTAGAAACTAAGAATTGAGCCAAAACATCTATATTGGAGGGTATTAACCCTTAAAAGTATTCAAATGTCTTAATTATGTGTATCTAGTGTTTCAGTACCTTAAAGATACGATACAATATGTCTGATACAGGGTGTATCATATCAAGACTTTGAACCTTGCATGCAGGCTTAATTTTCACTGATAAAAGGCTTAATTTTCATGAAGCTAAGTGCATTCTGAAGTGTTGAACCAGTGTATACTCTCCCATTGGATGAATGGTTGCTGATATACGTAGAATTGACTTCTCATTACATCAACAATCCTGAAGAGTGCTTGGACTACAAGATGATTACTTTTTATTGATTAGTACAGTTGTATTGAGAAGGGCAAAACCCTGGTAAGTGATAAAAAAGCTCAACAAATATACTTCTACTTCTATACCTCGATAGACATACTCATATTTGCCTTCACATTATTTAAGTAGGAACACTGTTCTTGTTGTGGGAGAAGTGCATACAATAGAGAAGATTTTAGGGATGCAAGGTGCTGAGTGGGATAATTTCCATCTGTTTACACTTGGGATATCAGATTTACTTAGGTTAATGACATATGGGGAAAGAGTAAGAAGAATGGGGGAAGAAGAAAGACCGGGAGAAAGAGTGAAGATTAGGAGCCAAAAGCAAGAGGTTTTCTGCCCCCTCATTGGTAAGCTAATATCACAGAAATATACTTATTAGTAAGAACTAAGTAGCTAATATATTCAACACTTTCCCTTAAACTGAGCAGAGATGTAAATCCTGCCTAGTTTGATTAAAAAGTTATCATAATTCATACATAGGTTTAGAATCCTTTATTGTGAGGGTGTTAGCAAACTGGCACTCATATTTTACATAATGCATGCAGACTTTGTGTAATTTTACACAATGCTGATCAGCTTCAGTATGTTTTGTTATATCATGCTGAACTGGAGTTTGTTTAACTTTAATTGTAACTCGATTATCATATTATAGCCTCATAGGTCCTTCAAATCCAGTTTCAAGGTCACTTAAAAAAGAATTTTTAACCAAATCAGCTCAAAAACTCCATGAACCATTGCTCTATATTCAGCATTGACATTCAATACAACCAGTTACTTCTTGTTCTGCCAGGACATTAAATTGCCATAAAAAATGTACAATATTCTAATGTAGAGTGCCTATCATTAAATGAACCACTCATTCTGCATCAGTAAATGCTTATAATTTCAAATGCCCATGATTAAAATAGAGGATCCCCCTACATGGGGCACCCTTCAAGTATGAATTTTATTAGCAGCTTCAAGATGAGGGACATATGGCTGATTCATATACCAGCTCATTACAATAATTGAATATGATTAACTAAGAGCCCATACTTGGTATGGGAAAATAAAAAGACCATTATTAGCCAATGTCGGTCCTGGCTATCTGGGGTCTTGGAAGTGGTCGAATGGATACAAACCTAACCTTTGGCATTTCTTTTGCACAAAGTGGCTGCTCTCAGACTTGAACTTCTGTTCTCACACTTGTCAGCCTGAGGTTTTATCATCGCACCAAGCAATAGCCTTTTATACTTGGTATGGAGAATAAACAATAGAAAAATTAAACTTAAAAGAATTGCAATGTAATGTCTTGTGTCATTTATAATGCATCATGCATAATACATCCAAAGAGGATAGCACTGATGAGTTTCCTTTTTTCTACCTTTTCCACACTTGGTTGCTTGTGCTTTCTGTTGCTGTAGCCTTGAGCATGTTGATTGTGCAATTCATTGGTTGCACTGTCCATATTGATGAGCTTGCACACTGATACTGATTTGAATGGTTGCCAGCTTGTATACCTTTTAGTCATGCATGAGTGTAATGTGAATCCCTCTAAATTATTATTAGTTTCTATTTTGCAAATTTCAAACTCAATTGTCTCCATTTCTCATTATATTTTTTGCTATATCCAAATCAGCAGACATGTTCTTTTATAACCAACTCCTAGATGACATGATCAATATTTGTTTCATTGCAAGCTTCTTGAACCCTTTATCCTTGCAATGTGTGCATTGAGAACACCTCGTATCAGTGGAGGCCTATATCAGCTAACAATGTGGCAAGGGGCGTAAACAAGATACAATTGTTAGGGATGTATTCTGTAGCTGCCCAGCTTCTTCTTTGGGTCCATAGCCTAATATGCATGTTCCACCCTTGTGTAAGGGAGGGGTTGTTCCTCCATTACTTAACTTTCTTTCCTCGTCTCTCCTTTGAATATAACAAATCATTTTATTATTTATTAGACTAAAAGGGCATATATTTGAGTATTTGACTATCATTGTGGTGGTTGATGCTTACTTTTTCAACATCTCGTATGAACTTTTGTTATGAATGTGAGACCAGATTATAATTGTCTGGCATGTTTTCTCAGTGGATATATATATTTTTTTTCAGTTACAATAATGAAACACTACTTAGGTGTTCTTGGTGATATTAAGGTGCCTTTTGACTTTCAGTGGTGGCCATCTTTAAAGACTAAGCTTAGTCTTATTTATGTCAATCTGTAATCAGATGAAAAGATTCCAGATCTATCAGAATTGGAGTTCGAAGCTAGGTCATCAAAAGATGGGGCATGGTAAGTGTTGACATAGCAATCAAGTGAGAACTGATGGATACTATTTCAAAAATTTACTTGTAATCTTATATGATGCAATAGTTGATAAAGCCCATGGTATTATGTCAACTGGTAGAGGGAAACTCTTCCGTGCCTCTTTGCAGGCTGTTGAATGTTTATTTAGCATTCTTTGCCAGCAAGAAGATTAATTTGTTCCTTTCGCCTTTTTGCATTCAACAAATTGGTTATAACTCCTATGTTATGGCATCTGTGAATTCTCTGACATTATATTTGCCTTAAAAAGAGAAAATCATCTTCAATATGCTTGATGTATCTATGGCTAGTGATATTCATCATATGCTTTGAGTTTTCTTTGAACAGCTAAATACAAATTTAACTTATCAAACCAATCAAATAATAAAGTGGCTACTTTTCTTTAACACTGAAGTTATATGCAGTACATTACAAATAGTGTCTTGTTTGGGTAAATGTGATGATGACATCTTGTTATTCCAGGTCTTCCATTAAGTCTACCAGTCCGCTATTTATGCTAACTTGTCTCTATTTCTTGATTTAGCTTATTGTCTGTTGAGTCATCAGTTTCTGCAAAATAGTCTTTCCTTTATCCATATAAGTATATAACATATCCCAAATCATGCTTTTATACATATGCTACATAATGTTGGTAAATAAAAGTACAAACTCTGGCATGCCCTATTTCTTTTTTAGTTCCCCGCAGATGGCCAATTAAAATTTATTTGGCATTGCAGGTATGATGTTGCTGTATTTCTCACCCACAGAGTTCTTAGTTCAGGAGAACTTGTAAGTATCCTACTTTTAGTAGTTGAGTTCTAATATTCTAAAATCAAACCTTTAGAAGCTGAATGTTTCAGTTGCATGAAAGTTGGTATATACTTCTGAGGAATGTGCATCAGTTGTCAATTCCACAAATTTGGTGCTTCTGGATTCTTCTCTCACCTTGCCTTTCCCTGACATTGCCACTTGATCCAAGAGTGGTGCTTGTCAATCATACTCAATCTGCAACAGGTGATGTAGTTGTTAGTTTGGAGCTTTTCTTGTTGGTAATTGAGCCGATAGAGCCTGCTACCTTGTGATTGAGACATGCTGCACAACAGTGTTTAGGTTATCCGTTTTCTTAACAGCGGAAGAAGTTTTGTGAACTTCAATAGAGTTGAAATATGCTTCTCAATGTCAAATTTAATAAAAGAGTAGCAATATGGGCTTCACCATGCAATTTGAGTTCACATAAGCTTACTTCCAAGGGTCAAGGTTTTTACATCTGATAGTGATGGACGTAGCAGATTATTATCTGTGTTGAATTATTGATGCCTATCGAAGCATTGAAAAGTGACGTGGAACTTTTCTTGGGGTAATCTCCTATTTATCAAGAAATAAAATGATGCCTCACACTGGTAGTTGTGGCATCCCACGTCAGAAGTCCTTTCAGATAGTGGCCATTTCCAAATGATTGCCCTACATTATTTCCACTAGATAGCATTCACAAATGACGTGGAGCTTTTCTTACATGGAATGATTCAAATAGAGGGTTTGCCATTTATATGAGGTCCTTGACACAACATTTCTCAAGTTTACATCCTATGTGTTTGTTCTATTTCAGGAAGTACGTGTAAGATTTGTTGGATTTGGTGCTGAGGAGGATGAGTGGGTGAATGTGAAAAAGGCAGTCCGTGAGCGGTCCATTCCTTTAGAGCCTTCAGAATGTCAGATGGTCAAGATTGGAGACCTTGTCCTCTGCTTCCAGGTGAGAGACTTAACTAGCTCGTATTCATTTGAGATAGATATCTTTGAAATTTCCTTCCCTCCCTTTTCAACCATGTTATCATGTCTGCTTAAGAGTTTTGGGGCAACATTCAGGAGAGAAAGGACCAGGCAATCTACTATGATGCTCGTGTTTTGGAAATACAAAGGAAACTACATGACATAAGGGGTTGCAGGTGCCTATTCTTGGTTCGCTATGACCATGATAGCACTGAGGTACTCGTAATGACATGGATCTGTAAAGCCACATAGAAAAGCTTCTTTGGGATACTTTATATCAAAGTTGATATAAGCAGTTACCATTTATAATTAATATCATTTTGTTCCTTGTGCCAGGAGAGAGTTCGTTTGAGGAGATTATGTCGCCGGCCAACATATTAGGTTATCACCCAATCCATGACTGGCTAGTATGCTTGATTTCTTGTGTCGTAAGAAAACTGAAACCGAATGGAGCTTCATTGTACAGTGTCACTAGTTAATAGTCCAAGTAAAATGCCTTTTTTTTTGTGGACGAGTAAAATAGCTATTACAACTGGCTTGCAATTACTGGATGTCAGGAAGACGATATAGGGAATATAGCATATGGACTACCAAGAGTTGGTATTGAATGCAAGTTTTGCCAAGTGCAATTGATTACAATTACATGTCCATTTGGACATAGTACTGGGCTACCAGCACATTGTGGAGTATATCACTATAGAGACCGGATCTGCTCCTCACAGCATGTCTCAGCCGCACATTTGTATGCTGTTATTCATGGATAGAGGTTCCCAATGCAGTTGTGAGGTCAGTATGAGAGCTCTGTGAGCAAATCCCGCTTCATCAGAAGAATATGCCATAAAAGGCACTAGGGGTCCTAAGTCCTAACAAACAATCCAAGTTAGCAGGGGCAGTAATCCTTGCTGGTTGATCCAACTCTTAACTGTCCAATGTAAGGAATTATTGATTAAAACGAAATATAAGTGACAATTGAGTAATTGAGTTTGTCGGACGGCTTGTATTTATTGCTGGTGATTTTCAGGGTGGGATACGTTAAGTGGATCGTTGGCACGTTAAATGTGTGATTCCTCTAGCAAAAAAAAAAAGCTTAGAGTTAGATGACCAGCAATAAGGAATCCCCATTTTCGCACTCTATGCAATGCAATGGCAAATGATTAATGCGGAATTGTGTAGTTATTAGTCAAGCCAAAAGCTTCATCCCTAGATGAGACGAGAGACCATTCACAAATAGTAATAAATTTATTCCCTTGCACGATTAATTTCACCTCGTATCTATTGAAATTTGAAAATGAAGCGCGGTCAAATGGTACGAATGTCAAACGGTGATTTGAATTTTGAAGTGTGAAGTCGAAGCCGAGCCAGGAGCTGGTTAAGAGAGAAAACTGAAACAAACAAGAAGTGGTGGCCAATGGCCACTTCATTGCATTGGACATTGGTTAGTGGTATATTGAGACGCTCATAACAAGTCATCACCACCATACTTGGGGAATTTCGTGCATCAGTGGTAATGAATGCCAGTGTTGCTCTCATCGCTGGAGATTGGAGGCAGCCCATACATGTTCAAATTTAGAACACATGTATTTCTTGCATTATAGATTTTCCCAAGACGGAAAGACATGACATGGAAAAACTAATCACCACTTAACTAGCACTTTTATAAAAGTACTATCCAATCTGGTGAAAGGATTTTGATCAAAATTCACTCACGGGGGTTGTGACTAGACGACGCTTTTCCGGATTAAAGTAAACTAGACTCCAAGCCTCTGGTGGATATGTGTTTAGCCAATCTTAAATCAAATGTTGTAGAGGGATCCTTGCCTCAAAATCCATTGATTTTCAACCAGATTGACCATGCCGTGACGAGTGGTGGGCCACTCCATTCGATATTGCCTTAAATTTCATTCCCCTCCACAGTCCACCCCAATCCCAATAAAGACCTCAAGGGGTTACCAAAAAAAAAACACTATTTCGTATCCGCCATTCTTGAGACTCAAATTTATGTATCCATGAACTTTCAGCGATGTGGCGGGAGTTGGCACTGTTAATAAAACCAGAAAATCCTCAAAATATCTTTAATTTTAAACAGCATATGCTCTGTCGGCACTCCCCTTCAGAGAATTTGCAAGCAAACGTGAGAATAAGATTAACACTCTTTCCAAAATGACTAAGTGGCCGTTGTCCAAATACATCATAAATAAAAGGAAATTTTCATTAAAATAAAAAAGGATAGATGAAAAAGAGTACAATGACAAGTGACAAAGAAACCACGAGAAAAAAAAAATGACTTGCACAAGCATCTCTATCTCCGACCACTCCAAAGCAAAAAAAACGATAGACCCTACACCAAAACCACTCAAAATTATACTACCATCAAAGTAAATAATACTCACCAACCTATTCCAACACCACGCATGCTTAACTAATATAACCAATCCTCCAAGAAATAAATCGCAACACTCTGCTGAGCATTAGTCAAATTCTTACTCCGCAAACCTGTTGTACAGAGATCCCATCATCGATGGACCAAGGACAACCTCCCTCCCCCTTTTTTCTTTCGCACCATCGTAAACCCAAGAGCACAGGTTTTTTTCCATTTGATCAGCGCCAAGAGCACATGATTTTAATAAATTAGGACTAAACAATTAAAAAGCATATGGACCTATGTCTTCATGGATTTATCATTTATTCAATATCATAAAGTTGAAAATTTCGATTATCAATTGGGTCCTTAAACTCCTCCAAAAGGCTTATACAGTTTTATTTAAGGTTTTAATTGTAGAAATAATTAATTCCCAACTGTTTAGCTTAACAACTTCAACAATTAAGAGTAGTTCCCATCCAAGCCATCCTACTGTTCCAAGACACGTTCATTTATTTCAAAATATAGGAAAGAAAAATATAAGGAATGCCCAATCATTTAAATTGTTGATCCATCTAGAAAGCCCTTTTGGAACTCAGAAGATGATAAGCTGACTTATTCACAAAAGGAGAAAATAAGTGAATGCTCTAAGCTTCTAGTCTCAATGGGCTTCCTTGTAAGCACCAAAAAAAGGCTTTATATAATACAACCTCAGAGATGACAAGGACTTGCCTAACCTAAAGAAAAGGAGAATAACTCAAGCAACACAATTCACATGAACACATAACCAATTGCCTAGAATCCATGTCAACCTAGGGAATAACTGTAGAAGAAACAGCCTGTACAAGAGTAACCAATTACTGAAGCTAATAACTGTATCCTGCTGGTCTGCCAACTCCTATTCTACTTGGTTAAAATTTATAAAATATTATTATGTTAAAATTTATAGTATAATATAATAATTGTGTATAAGGAGAGAGGGAGAGAGAGAGAGAGAGAGAGAGAGAGAGGGAGAGAGGGAGAGAAAGATTTACTAAAACTTTCACATGGCCATCTGGACGTGAAATCAAGTATCGGCATAATATAGTGAAGATACAGCGGTAATTTAATCATATGAAAGAGCCAAATAATATGGTTGAGGTAATCCAATATCAAGAGCAAGTTGGCTTACCTGCAAGCTTGGTGGCAATAAAGAGAATACTGAAAAGTTGTTCTACCATTGCCAGCAACCCTGGATTATGGCTCTTAACCATATATACTGATACACAGATAAAAGATGCTGTTTTCTTCTCAATCAATCTATATTTAGCAGAAGTTGGTGTATAAAAGCACCTACAAACGTACGTACCCACCATGGTTACAATATACTTGTAGACTGATCTGAACAAGTTTAATGCACCAAAATAGCAGGGGATTAATTTTCCTCAAGCCAAGTGAGTGAGGCATATTGTCCTGAGAAAAAAACTAAAAAAACGAAGTAAAATCAGATCTAACCAAATCACAAATTACTACATCAGTAAAGAAAGAATATATTATCAAGAGTTACACATCAATACTACAACTCTAAAACAAGACAGGTTAACTACTTGAAAACCTGGAATTGTAAACAGAACCTTCATTTTCACATGATACATATGGACTTACCTTCCAAGAGGCAACTTGGTCAGTTCCTTGAATATTTGGACATAGGATCATTCTCACACAGGATTTCTTTAATCTGCTTTTGAATTTTCACTCCGATAGATAGTTGAACATCCTCAAAATATATATTAGCAGGAAAAACTAAATCACTCACAAATCACAAAATAATGTTCTTAGACATACGGGAACTAGGAAAGCAGAAATGTGTCCTTGATGATATGATGTTATTGCAATACATGCCTAAGTAAAAGGAATCATTAGATGCATCTTACACAAATTGTCCCTTGTTTTACAATCCAACATGAAATCACCACACATGCATCTGGCTGCTAAAGTTCCACCGAGCAGTTGTTTCAGTCTTTCAAGATAAAATTTTCTGAATTCATAAAATGTGGCAGAAACCACATGCAAATTTCTCTCGTCTTTCATTCCTCAATGGCATGCCCAAATGCACTCTACAGATTTGGTAAAGCATTAGTAGCAGGGATAGATATTTGATTTGCAAGCTACTCCAAAAGCATCAACCATAACCAACCATAACTTAATGATTTTGGAAACAGATTAGATACAATAGAATGGAGTCGTGTCCATGAACCAAATAACCTTGTCCATATTAAAGAAGGACAGGAGAGAACAAGCAACAGAATGGCCTGGCTTACTAGGTTCATTATTATTTAATCCAATAAAAAGGAATTATATTCAAGTAGCATCACTAAGTTGCCATCAATCAACAATATGCTTGTGCAGGAGTCAACTGACAAGTAATCAAAACATTTTTTGCACTGACTGCTTCTGCTGAAATAGAAAAGTGGGGAAAGGTATGCATCATCTTCCCCATGTATAAAAATCAAATAAGAGCCATCAGCTAAAGCATCAATTGATGCAAATACATTTTTATTCCCATTTGGTTATACCCAATTCCCAGAACCATAAGTTGAACAACCAACATATAAAACTCAAAAACAAAATAAATAAAAAAAAAGAAAGGAAAAGATAACTGGAACTCATAGTCACTCATGATAAAAACGATCAGGTCCAATGACATGTCATAGAATGCACACTTCTTGGAATGTGTTCAACCACTACAAGTAATCAAAACATGACCTGTGCATATGCCTTCAATCAAGTAATCATTATTCAACACTATACAAATTTACCAATTAGCAAGATAGCCCACCATCCCCTAAGACTTTAGATAACGAACATTTAGCGCAAAAAGCATCTCCAGACACTTGACATGGACACTGCACAAGGTGTTAGTAGCAGCTGAGATGGCAATGACATACAGTTAAGTAAAGGTTCACATCAAAATTTCTAGCCTGGATGCCACAACAAGCAATTTGGCTACAGAAAACAAAAGATTTCACGCTTCCCAACATAGTGGTACGGTTGTAAGAGTTGGCTTGCACGTGACAGAACCATGTATCTTCAAAAATGATGTCTCAAAGCATCACCACAAATAAACAAAATTTGGAAGCTCATGAAACTGTCCGGCCATAGCAAACAGACGCAATATAAAGATTTTTAGCCCATTTATCCTGCAAACACCAATCACAAGGTAATTTCAGTCTCCAACAATAAATCACTGCATAATAGAACCAAAGAAACCAATGCATGTGATGAATCTACCTTGACATGTGTACTAGGAAAAGCAGAAGTCCTAAGTGTCTCCTGAGTTTCATCAGCAGGCTTCCTTCTAGGCACACTAAGAACAAAGGCAGCCTGGTCCCAAGTTGCAGCAGTTGCTGTGATACGATAGCCACTATCCCACCTCCGATGGATACCTTCACTAGGGTACAGAAAATCTAGCTCAACAACCTGAAATCATAAGCAACATCAGTGTCAATAACCTCTAAATCCCAATGTCTTCTGAAATAACATATATTCATCAAATAAGTCAACAAGACCTGGTCTGAAAATCCAGCACTACGGGACATAACAACTCCCCATCTACTTCCTGCAGTGGCCATGGAGGTGACATAAAAACCTTCTCTCCATTTTTTGTTTATCCACTTGAATGGGAATGAATCACTAACTTTGTAGGACTGCTGAGCATACTGCGTACCTGAGATCAATGGATAAATTTCAGTTATTAGAAACTCAAAATAGAAACTGCAAAAATCCAAAATATCAATAATTACTGAGACTAACCTTTAGACATTACTACTAACGAACTTCCGTTATTAGCTCCTGCTATTGCACTAATGTAATAGTTCTTCTCCCACTGCTCCATAATCCATTCCTTCAAACGAACAAAAATGAACAGAGACAATTAGTTTGCTGATTAATTTGCATAATACATGCACTTGACAAAATATAAGTCCAGAAATGTACCAACAATGTAGTGATAAGTGCAAATATGGAATCTCACAAATGGAGATTGAAGGCGACTCTAAGCTGTTAATGGGGTGGATGCAGTCAGGTTGCTTGGGAGCATGGAAATATAGACAGATGATAAGGGAAATACTCTATATAACGAGGGAGATTGGTGTGTGCTTCAAGTGGACAAGAAGGTCAGCTAATGGGCTTAGCGGATACCAGAAAAACAAGGGACTGTAAGGGGAGAACATGTTTTGGGCAGTGTTGTATGAGTAACTTGGGTCAACTTCATAATAGGGGGTGGTTGACAGTTGTACTTTGAGATATTTTGTAACATTTTAATGAAGTTACCGTTTCCAATAAAAAAAAATCTCACAAACACCTTTTTATAAAAAAAAATAATGCAAGGACATGAAAAGCAAATGTCATGTTGGTTTCAAATACATATGAGAAACAAGGGTGATGGTGCAAGCAGTTACTCACTTTGTGAAGAAAACAAGGTGAAAGCTCATAAACTTGAGCAGTGAAACCAGTGCCTGCATCCATAATAAGGGCCCATAGATTTGAACATGATGCCACACTGCTTATAAATAGCCCATCTTCATTTCCCTTCTCAATGTGCTGTGCAAGCCTTGCATCTGCCACATTATAGTGATACCTGAAACAATAAATAACAATAATAATTTACACCCACTTTTACATAATTCTGGTAGAAAATTCACATGACAAGTGAAGCATACATACCGTTGCTTCATAGGCCGCCTAGCATTATACACACTAATCCATTGTGTTGCAGGCATCCCCATCCGGACCTTCTTCTTTGGTTGCTCATCATCCTCTTCCTCCATTGTCAGCCGCCCTCTCTTATGGCCAACCTGATAGATAAGCTTCACAAAATGTAACCAAACATTAGATGTATCCAATAATGAAATTCAGAATAATACCAGCTTGATACTGAATGTTAAAAAGGAATGAAAAGTAATAACATAAAAGAGTACCTTCTGTGCACCATCAGTGTTAATCGGCCTAATATCTGGATTTGGCCCAACAATCCCATCAAAAAGGGAAATGTATTTTGCATAGTTTGGTTCCTCATCAAATTTGAGATTCACAACATACTCAACAAATTGTCTGAAGGGGGCTGGGCAAAAACAACAGAGTGTCTCTGGAGATGTTGCCATCTTCTTCTTGCACACAAGGAACCCTTTATTCTCACCCTATAAAGAATGGGGTCAGAAGCAGTGCAAGTGCAAGACATTGTACAGAATTACACTGGAGTTTATATGAGACCTACTTGGTATCCTTGCCAAGGTAAACGACCGCGGAGAAGGAAAATAAGAGTGTAAGCAAGCGACTCTAAGTCATCTCGCCTGCTTCCAGTCCGTCCCAGATGAGCATGCACACTGGCATATCGAACTGTTCCCCTGCAAGACCACAATGCCAATATGCCAAAACTATCAATAAACCAAGAAAAACAACAACAACAACAACAACAACAACAACAACAATAATTGAAAATTGTACCTAAAAACATCTGGTCGTTGGTCATATTCAACATGTTGACCTGTTGAATTGTCCCGCCACCTAGTGGCTGATACCCGCAAAATTAGAAGATAAAGAATAAGATACTACTTTTTTATGATAATATCAATGCTGCAGACTGAAATCTGTATATGTATCAATTACCTAATCCAAGATCAACAAGGAATAGTTTTTTCTCCTCAGGAGTCCCTGGGGGGCCAAGTAAAAAGTTCTCAGGTTTTACATCCCCATGCACATAGCTGTCAAAAATCAAAACATCATACTTAAAAGTCTAAAAACTGAGAATAAAATATTTTACAGCACTAGGAGACCATAAGAATTCCGAAAGAGATGCCAATTATAAAAAAAAAAGCTGCATAATCCACATTTCTGACAGAACATCTCACCCTCTGGAATGCATCTTTTCCAATATTGATATTGCTTCAATTGCAATACATGCAACCATTTCGATGGACATCCTGCAGTTATTAAAAGTATCAATATTTGCACAAGTATACAAATGTTAATTCTTTAAAGAGCAGTTTATTTGAGATGGTAGAGTTTCAATTAAATGATGAACCAGAAATAAATAACAATTCATCAAAGACTACCAAGGAATCCTAGACATAAACACATTCACACCAATTTCGGAGAACTTACGTGTGTGAATTGTTGTTCCAGACATCCCATAAACTTGGTCCCAGCATATCCATAACCTATGGGGATTAAAGAGTGTTACCAAAAAGCAATCCGAAACGAAAGAAAAAGAAAAGAGCACACTGTTGTAAGGGGCAACTAAAACATACCATGACATAATAGTCACCTTGCCGGCCCTTGTAGTGTACTCTGGGCACACCATGACTACCACCAAGGGTGCTGAGCAAACACCACAGGATGTTAGTGAGAGATCCATTCATGATATTAAATAAAAAAATAAACAGAATGCAATTATGCAAGTCATAGTTACAAAGGAAAGTGACATACTTGTACACTTGCCACTCATAGGGTGGTCCATAATTACATCCCTTGCTACTTCTGTGCTCAAACTTTAATGCCACCTAACTCACACAGAGCAAAAAATATATTAACAAAATGGAATCCATTGGCTCCTACTCCTACACTATTAAAAGATGAAACCCTTTAGTAAAAGCAAACAGCATACCTCAACAGCTCCTTGCCCAGTTCTATCATTTGTACTTGCACCCGAAATGCGACGACCAACATAAACTTGTCCAAATCCTCCTTTGCCCAACTTTCTTTCTATTCTGTATACTGGGGAACCACCTACTTGGACCTGTATAAGATAAAGCAAGCAGTTAAAAATATCAGTGGAATGACTCAAATGCAATGTAGCATATGTATTGTTATTTGGCATCTGCACACTTCCTACTAAAACGAGAGAACCCAGAGAGGGGGACCAAAAGATTTAGATGCTAGAAATATAGCATAGGGGTCTCTGTAGGTCATGAACGAACATTTCCAAACCATTAATAATTAACTCCCCTAGTTCACACTAACTAGTTTACAATTTAGGTTTACATCTTGAACCATCCCAGCAGAATACATGGACATAGTTTAGAACACACAAACACACACACACAAACAAAATCAAACAAAGGATTAAAAGAACCAGTACATAGAGATCCATTCTTTCAGCGTTTGAAGTGGGCATAATGCAATTCTTTACATAAAATTTAAAACAGAAGAGTAAAAAAGATAACAAATATCAAAACCCAATAACTCCCCTTTTCCAACGCTAGAAAAGTCGGAAATTTGAAGAGAACCCCTATTTTAACAGAATACAGAACAAACTACGTCTAAACTCTTGAGCCCCATTTGGCGTCACTCCATAATCCATATCTTCTGTCCCAAAAACACTGTAAATAACGCATATAATGAGAAAACCGTTGCAATAAAGCTCAATTTCATGGTTCAAATTACTGGTTATTAACAATGCTCCCTTTGTGGTTATCAGCAAAAACCAAAATAGAGACAAAGACATAATAATCTCCAAGTGGCTTAAAGCGTAAACTCCCTGGCAAAACCAAGGAGTTGAAGCCCCTAAATAACAAAAAAATGAACTAAGCTCCTTCAAGCACCAAGCAATTCACATCAGAATCTCCACGAGATGAAAGCCGAAAATGCCGAGCCAAAGCCATGATCAATTAAAGAAGAGAAGAGAATAACTAAAAAACAAACCTTTTCAGGAAGCGGAGCGGTGCTCCCTTCATCTTCCGCTCCAGGAGCCTTGTCAGCGCTTCTCGCTCCGCTATCGTAATCGTCCATCTGCTTTTCTCCTACCCCTTCCTCCTCGGCGCGAACCAATCCAACAAGATCGCCGCCGACTCCTCCGGCGACTCCGCCTTCTTCTAGAACCTTCTCCTCCTCCTTAGCTTGTAATGATGGAGACGGAACAGTGCCTTTCACAATATTTTCATCGATCGGCTGCTTGTTCTTTGCAGTTCGCCTCTTTCTGGTCTTGGGAATCACTTTCTCCCCTCCGATCGCATTTGGCTGTGCTGCTGCCCGGCCCCTGCGCACTCCGCTACGCAGTTCCGGCATCGTTCATCCATCAAATCTCATACCTGAAACCCCTATCTATTCGTTCACAAAACCTTGATTTTACAGAACCATACAAACAAAACCCCCCTAATCGACTGAGTATGGAAGGCAAATAAATAAAGAAATCAACTTTCTTCCTAGACGTCAAGCACAATAATCAAAGAAGAAGGGAAAAAACGACACAATCGAAGACGGATAAAAAGAGTTTCAGAGGAAAGAATTAGGGTTTCGCTGATGTGATTCTGGGGATCCGTGGAGGGAGAGGAGAGCTTCTACTACGTTCAGGGGAAAAAACGCTTCCTGAGATGTAACAATTTCTTGTTTATTTATTTATTCTTATTATTTATTTAACTAGACTAGATATAAGAGAAAGCCGAAAGCGTATATAGGTATATCCAGAAATTAAAAGCAGCTCCTTTCGACCGTTGATTACGATCGAAGGAGCCGATGGACGATTGGATTTGAGTTTCTAGAAATGAGAAAATTTCATTTTAACTACAGTTTTACGTTCTTTTTTTGATAGATACCTCCACTTTTGCTTATTTCTCTGTAAATAACAGAACTACGAGACAAAGAAAGAGAATTGCCAGATGCTCCTCATGTTAGGATTAAATTACAAAAGGACCGGACAAAAGTCTAACGTTGAATTGACGCCATCGATCTTCGGAGAATGGGTCTGGTATATATCAATCAGGGCCATTAAAATGGAGGACCATCTTAAAACGTCTTGGCGTCGTAGACCAAAATCTACCCGCTTCAAGATCGTACGATCTTAATTATCAGGGGCGAGACCCAAAGTGTTTGAATTTGGACAGATTTGGACGGCTGAAACCGGTGAGTTCATATCTGCGCCCCACAAAGCGCGCCCGACGGGCACCCACAGAATATTCTCAATGAACGCTGAAATGTACATGCGGGACGCAAGTGAGGCGCAGATGTGAACAATCTGGATCATAGGTTCTAAAAGCGTCACCCTCCCGGTCTCCCTCACGATACATTGCCGATCACGTCCGTCCATCCAACCGTATATTTAGAATATATAAAATATAAGAGATATTCTCAATGTGTGGGAACAAAACAACGTCTTTAAATTTGGTTGTCAAGCCGGAAATCAAATGGAACCAAACCAAATAAGTTGACTCGATTTACTCTATTTGGTTTATAAGTTGGTCTGATTTGATTTTTGAAATATATGGTTTTCATTTTTTTGTTCGATCTGACTTTTTTTTTTCTGAAGGCATCTGACAAAAAATTTAATCAAACCCAACCGGAAATCATTTTGAGTTCAGTTTGGTTTGATTCGTGGTCTAACTGAAATATCAATTAATTATGTTTTATTTTCTATTCAAACCGAAACCTAACTGACAGACCAGTAGCTTCATCTAATACATGGTCGTTAAATTTTGCAACCTTTTCAAACCAAACACTTGAACTATGTTTCCATCTTGTGATTTGCATCAAAAGAAATTAGAACAATAGCTGAAATATTTTTTTTAAACTAAACATTTTTATAGATGACTCGGCATCTAAAGTTTTTTTCTTTTCTGTTTTTGTATTTGGTGATAGACAACACACTATTAACCTCCTCTATGTGAGAATTAAATCTGCATTTATGCTCAAGGGAACCAACTGACATATAAAAACTGAATCATCCTTCAATTGAAGGAGAGATGAAGGATTAACCCATGAAATTGCAAGCTTCTAAAATTAGAGCTGCCAATGAATTGGGTCTGATTTGGGACAGTCTATGCTCTATACCAGTGTCAAATACATCATTTAATTGGGACAGAACAGAACCTCTAGATTAATAATTGGGATAATTGGGCAATTAGACCTGATTACACTGACATATATAATTATGTATGTAAATAACAGTTTAAACTTGATAATATAACATTAGTAAAAAGAACAATAAAATAGTAAATTATTTATGTATCAATAAATCAAGTTTATCGTTTTAGACATAAAATATATACAAATTTAAAGAAAAAAAATATAATTTGGGTCTGTATCATTTTTAAACAGACAAGAACTAAAAGCAACTCAATTATTAATTAGATCGATCAGTAAAACCAACCTATAGACAGCCCCCGCTCCCTAATTCCTATTGTTAGGTTAGTGGGATATCGCTGAATCCCTACTGACCTAATATGGGAGAAAGAGGTCGGAAAGAAATTAGGAATAAAATTGAAGTTGATGGGTTCAAAGGAGAACCCAAAAAGTGTCAGATAAGTTGACTAAGATGGGAGGTCAAATTCTTTAATGTATATATTAATTCTAAAAATGTTAATATAATGTGGTATACTCCTCTACTTTATGGACCGATCTCAAAATGGCAATCCACACATGTAAACGAGATTAACAATTCACCCATTTTGACGATATTTTAGATGGATTTCCGGGAGAACTTTCCTCCAGGTCTTAATTCTGCATATTCTTTTATGTATATGGTTGACAAAGGAATATTACATACCCAACTTGAATTTATTTTATTTTAAAAAGAAAAAGAAAACCTTGAATGCTTTTTTTTCTCTTTTAAAACATTTCTTTTCCCTTTATTTTCTTTCAAAACAAATACAACCTTTAGGCAGCTTACGATAACTACGAGTCTTTTGAAAATAAATTGGGAAAACACATGAAAAAGAAGGAACCAATTAATCGTTATTTTTCACCGGCAAATTTGTCATTCTCCTCCTTGCCTTGCAATTGGTTATAAAACGATTTCTTTCAATAGGAAATAACAACTTTAACGTTGTATTTGGAGCATTCACACGTTGAGCGTTCATCAATATGAATGGTTTTGCTTCTCATAACAACTAAAAACCAGCCATAAGAAAAAGAGGGCACTCCTTCAAAGCACATGGGTAGACCTCCCACTGCAGAGAAATGGAGGCTACACAATTTTTAAATCAAAATAAAAATACTAAAGGGTGGCATGGGTCCCAATTTAGTTCTAAAATCATTCTGTCTCCTAATTCAGATTAGAAAGTCGGTTCACTTCCCAAAGATAAGAAAGAAAGTTAGCTAACATTCTTCAAACACAGATCAAATCTAAGTTTCTTATCACAAATAAAAGCCCCAACCTAAGTTTCTAGAGAGATTTTATTGTTTATTTACAAATTAAAACTAATTTAATATCCTAAATCAAATAACCCAATCTAGAGAATTCAGACGTGGATAGGGAACCCCAAACAAAGCAGGCACGTGTAAGTTGCCCTATATAATTTAATATTTTGCTATAGATTTCATAGACTAGGTGTCCGATTATGATTGGGTGGTAAAACCAGTGTCATATGAAGGAAGGAAACTATAGTATGGCCCCCTAGTGAGCATCACGAGATTCAACATGGCCAAAAGGCAGCCATGCATTAGCTCTGAATTGGCCTGAAAAACGAGGCCTTAACATATGACATATCCCTCTTCATCTCTTTGCCCTGACCATATATTATATAGCAGGATAAATCCAATAATAATAAAAAAAAAAAAAAAAATCGCTAAAACAGAACGAAGCAACAAACGGGGAATAAGAAATAGGGATCCCTAAAGAGGTATCAGACCCAAGAGGGAAAAAAAGAGATAAACTCCCCCTTGTCCCAAAGAAGTCTTTGGGACTCGATGCGCAACAGAATTCTTTTCCCCGACAACAAAGCTAAATCTATCAGAAATTCTAGAAGAGAGCATGACAATATCTTTTAACAGAAACATAAAATCAACAACACTGATTCGATTCGAGTTCGACGCAGCCTAGATTATTAAAGTGAAGGTGTCATGTGCAACAATTTTAATTTATTTTAGTTTATTGAGTCAGCCCAAATAATTAGCTGTAGTAAGCTAGAGTTGCTATTTCTTTTAGTTTTTATTTTCTAGCAATTGCTATTTTCTAGTAGCTGTTATTTTTTAGAAGTTGCTATTTCTTTTAGTTTCCATTTTCTAGTGGCTGCTATTTTTTAGAAGTTGCTAAGTTTGTTGGGCTTGTAAGATATAAATTCCATTATTTTCGAGCAATGACAGGGGAGGATGAAAAAAACTTTCAAAGGCTTGTCTTTGAATTCTGTTTCCCAAATTCTTTGATTCTGCTCTTACTTTGCCTTAGCAACATAGCTCGAGGTCGAGGTAGGGGGCGAGGAAGGGGTCGAGAGCGTGCCATCAACCCAGAACGTGATAGGTTGGTATCAGAGCCGGTTATGGCTGACGATCAACGACTCCAACGGCTTGAAATTCAGGTGGAGAACATGGGCTCAGGTCAAGAGAGGCTCCTTAAGCAGATGGAAGAACTAATGGGACAATGAACTCCCGATTTGAATTGTTGGAAGAAGGGTCCGTCAATAGGAATCGGGGACCACATGGACAAGGTGGTGCCAGGTACGCAGGTGGAATGGTGGTTCCTAAGTTTGCAAAGCTTGATTTTTCTCGCTATGATGGCTCGGAAGATCCAACTCTATGGATTTGCCATGCAGAACAATTCTTTGAATTTCAAGGGACATCATTGAAAGAACAAGTAAAATTAGCAACCTATCACTTAGAGAAAGATGCTCAGTTGTGGTACCAGCGACGCAAAAACCAAGGACACTTGGTTACTTGGGAAGGAATGAAGGCGGGATTACTAGAGAGGTTTGTTGTGACCGAATATGAAGATTTCTTTGGAGACCTATGCAAGCTTAAGCAGACGGGGACTGTTTCAGATTATCAAACTCGGTTTGAGAGGCTTCTAGCATGAGCTTGTACTTTGACAGATAAACAAGAAGCTGAGTGTTTTATTAGTGGACTAAAAGATGGGCTAAGGGCTGATGTGAGAGTCCAAAACCCTCAAAATCTGTCCGCTGCAATTGGGTTAGCATGTACCTATGAACTCAAGGCCCAGGAAGTGAGGCGCTCCACTAACACAACATTCCATTCTTCAGTTCGCAACTCCAACAACCAATGGAACAATTCAAACCCGAATGGTTCTAAAAGCACCAAYCCAKAAAGGATTTTACCAATCYRAAAATTATCTCCAACYRAACTMCAAAARCGACGAGAACAAGGGTTGTGCTACAATTGTGATGAAAAGTATACCATGGGTCATAAATGCAAGAAACTATTCTTCATTGAATTAGAAGAAGAGGATGAAGGAACCACAGAAGAAGAGTATGTAGAAGAGACACCGACTATCTCTTTACATGCCTTGGCTGGGGTTCAATCCCCACAAGCCATGCGGGTCCACTCACAAATTGGTAAGACACCATTAACGATTTTAATTGATTCTGGTTCCACTCACAATTTTTTGCATCATAAATTTGCCAAAATCAGCGGACTCAAGCCGGAAAGAAGCTACTTGTTTAACGTGGTGGTCGCTAATGGGGAAAGGTTGTCAAGTCTGGGACGTTGTAATGGAGTAAAACTATCCTTGCAAGGCATTCCAATTGAGGTGGATTTTTTCTTGCTTCATTTAGAAGGTTGTGATGTTGTTCTAGGAGTGCAGTGGTTGGGTACTCTTGGCCCAATTTTATGGGATTTTGGAGGGATTCAGATGCAATTCACTCTAGCTGGGCGAAAGGTGCTGCTACAAGGTTCGACATCCTCAGAACTTCGAGCTCTCGAAGGTGAAACTGTTCCTAGAACATTGAGGCAAAGTGATGGTAGGGGAATTATCTTACAGCTTTGTGCAATCCAACATAAGCATGCAGATCGAGGAGTTACTGCCTAAAACAATGGGGCCTTTACTCATTGAGTTCAGCGATCTGTTCGAAGCACCTATGGGACTACCACCTCCGTGCTCTCATCATCATAGGATTCCTCTCCAGCCAGGAGCAGGACCAACTTGTGTACGCCCGTATCGGTACCCGCATTTCCAGAAACAAGAGATTGAGCGCTTGGTGGAGGAGATGCTATCACAAGGTATAATTCATCATAGTCAAAGCCCCTTCTCCTCTCTGGTACTTTTAGTGCGGAAACACGATGGGAGTTGGAGGTTTTGTGTGGACTATCGAGCACTAAACCGGGTGACAGTCAAAGATAAGTTCTCAATTCCTGTTATAGATGAATTATTGGATGAGCTACACGGCACCAAATTCTTCACCAAACTGGATCTCAGATCCAAGTACTTCCAAATACGAATGGACCCTCTTGATGTACATAAAACAGCCTTACGAACTCATCATGGGCACTTCGAATTTCTGGTAATGCCTTTCGGCCTCTCTAACGCCCCATCTACATTTCAATCACTTATGAATGAAATTTTTAAGGCTCATCTAAGGAAATTCATCTTGGTATTCTTTGATGACATTCTAATTTATAGCAACACATGGGATGAACATCTGAAACATGTTAGAATTACCTTTTCTGTTCTACGAGCTCATCATCTTGCAGTCAAGAAAGAAAAATGTCAGTTCGGGTAGACCCAAATCAAATATTTGGGGCATATTATTTGTCAAGACGGTGTGAAGGTGGATCCAGATAAAATAAAGGCAATGGTGGAATGGCCAAAACCAGCAACTATCAAAGATTTGAGGGGCTTTTTAGGATTAACGGGCTATTATTGAAAGCTTATTGCAGGTTATGGCAGAATTGCAACCCCCTTGATTGACATGTTGCGAAAAAATGCCTTTTCTTGGTCTCAAAAGGCAGAAGAGGCGTTTGAATTATTGAAACAAACCATGACGCAAGCTCCAGTTTTAACCTTGCCGAATTTCCAACTCTCGTTTGTGATGGAATGTGACGCATCAGGGAATGGATTAGGGGTTGTCCTAATGCTAGAACAAAAACCTATTGCTTACTTCAACATTGCCTTGAAGGGAAAACACCTTTTGCTGTCCACTTATGAAAAGGAACTTATGGCACTGGTTCTTGCAGTAAAAAAATGGCGACCTTACTTGCTTGGACATCACTTTGTGGTTCGAATTGATCAACGTAGCCTCAAATTTCTTTGGGAGCAACGAATAATGACAGAACCTCAACAAAAATGGCTGCTCAAATTAATGGGTTATGACTTCTCCATCGAATACAAAAAGGGTAAGAATAATATGACAGCAGATGCTCTATCAAGAAGAGAAACACATGGGGAGTTCAGTGCAGTTTCTAGCCCTCTTCCTCAATGGCTGGAGTCCATCAAGGGCGAGAACCAGTCACACCCGGAGCTGAAACGAATTCATCACTTACATGAGCAAGGAGAAACTATTGAACCATGGGAAAATCGACATGGCGTAATGTTCTTTAAGGAACGTATCTATCTTCCATCAAACTCAGAACTCATCCCAATCATTTTCTAGGAAATTCATGGTGTTGGGCATGAGGGTCTTTACAAAACTCTTCATCGCGTAAAGGCGATATTCTATTGGGGGCAGATGAGGAAAGCTGTACTGGATTACATCAAGCAATGTGATGTATTTCAACGCCATAAGATAGATCATCAAAAGTCGTCAGGACTTCTCCAACCATTGCCTATTCCTACACAGGTATGGACAGACATCTCTATGGATTTTATTGATGGCTTACCCCCATCTAAGGGGAAGACAATCCTCTTTGTGGTGGTAGATCGACTATCCAAATATGCACACTCTATCCCAATGTCTCACCCATACACTGCACCAAAAGTGGCTCAAATATTCTTTGAAAATGTGTTCAAACTCCATGGTATGCTGAGTTCAATAGTATGTGATCGGGACTCTACTTTTATAAGTGCTTTTTGGAAAGAGCTTTTCAAATTGCAGGGGACTAGTTTCAATTTCAACTCCTCTTATCACCCCCAAACAGATGGCCAAACGGAGGCAGTAAATCGGGCTCTTGAGATGTACCTGCGTTGCTTTACTAGTTCAAGACCAAATGAGTGGGTTCAATGGGTTCCTTGGGCCGAGTTCTGTTACAACACTAGCCTACATGCTTCTACTCGCAGAACTCCCTTTGAAGTGGTGTATGGAAGGGAGCCCCCCAATTTGCTTTCCTATATTCTGGGTACGTCAAAGGTCGGGGCTGTAGATGACATGCTCCAAGCAAGAGATCAAGTTGTGAAAGACCTAAGGGGCCAGTTCCAACAAGAACAAGCTAGAATGAAGACTGCTTATGACCAAGGAAGAGTCGAGAGAGAATTTGACGTGGGTGATTGGGTATATTTGAGATTACAACCTTATCGGCAAACTTCGTTGGCATTGAGAAGATCACATAAACTCTCCCCGTGATTTTATGGGCCATACCGTGTGCTGGAACGAATTGGGTCGGTGGCTTATCGGCTTGATCTTCCACCAGGAAGTAAGATTCACCCAGTTTTCCATGTGTCACTCCTAAAGAAACAGCTGGGTACAACTGATAAAATTGATTCTTCTCTTCCATTAGTATCAGAAACATCAGGTCACCTGCAACCTCAGCCTATAGCAGTTCTAAACTCTCGAGGCAAAGGGCATAAACGTGAATTACTTATACAGTGGCAGGGGCTTCCAACAACCGATGCTACTTGGGAGGATGAGTATAAACTTCGAGAGAAATTCCCAGACTTTATGTGTCCTTGAGGACAAGGACGTTTTTACGGGGAAAGGATTGTCATGTGCAACAATTTTAATTTATTTTAGTTTATTGAGTCGACCCAAATAACTAACTGTAGTAAGCTAGAGTTGCTATTTCTTTTAGTTTTTATTTTCTAGCAGTTGCTGTTTTCTAGAAGTTGCTATTTCTTTTAGTTTCTATTTTCTAGGAGCTGATATTTTCTAGAAGTTGCTATTTTTTGTAATTACTATCTTTTAGTAGTTGCTAAGTTTGTTGGGCTTGTAAGCTATAAATTCCATTATTTTCGAGCAATGAAAGGGGAGGATGAAAAAAACTTTCAAAGGCTTGTCTTTGAATTCTATTTCCCAAATTCTTTGATTCTGCTCTTACTTTGCTTTAGCAACATAGCTCGAGGTCAAGGTAGGGGGCGAGGAAGGGGTCGGGAGCGTGCCATCAACCCAGAACGTGACAGAAGGCAATCTGATTCCAGGGTAATCCTAGGCCAGTAGGCCACTTCGACTTGATAGCCATACCTTCAGCTTGCAATAAGGATGCAGTATTGCTTGGTTTCTAAAGAGAACAGCAACAGTGCACCACATTTTCTACCAAAATTATTTTTGATTCTAGTACCAATTACATACTCTTGACAATCAATGAACCCGTACTCCGTGACTCCGTGACTCCGTGACTCCGTGTTGCCAGACGGACGAATCATATCCACCGCTACATTACTAAATTCATGGAAACCCAGAAATATACCACCGAATAGACTGCCATTGCCAATCTTTGCACATTCGGTATGACCAATTGACCATCTTCATCTCAACCTGGGATTAGAGGTTCAGATGAATATAAAACAATCGTCAGTCCGGTGACTGTTTTCTTTGCGTTTAAATGAATTGCTATTTCTTATTAAGAAAAAAAAAGTAAAAATCTGGAAAAGGGATCATCATATCAATGATATGGACTCCACAATGTAGTGATTCTCGGTTGGGAGCTTCCATGAGCCAAAAATTAAAAAAAAAATACAGAAATATAATTGCATGTACTTCGGTATTTACACAGATAATCTGGCTACTTCCCCCCCACCCCACTTTTCTTCAAATCATATGCATATCAATCTTGGCTATAATACACCAATTTAAAGGCGAAACTACCACAAGATTATCACCAGAGGGAATTTTACAATGAACAGCAAAGAATTTTAAAAAAAGCTTCCACTGAAGAAATAGAACATTGTTATAGTTGCTGCATGCTATTTGCAAGCTACGGAACTCCAAACTACTTGTTTTTGATCCCGGAGTAGCCATAGTTTCACGGTAAGATAGGGTTAGCGAGTCCCATTGATGCTGCAACCTCTCTAGAGGCAAAATTGTCGGCTTGTTCCTATAGAATACACAGAAGACTGTCAGCAATTCATAAACGTACTTACATTTAGATGCATATACCCATTGAAGTGTGTGAATTAATGGCTCCAAAGTTTAAATACATGCAAAGGACATATTGTTACATGAATAATTTCATAGAGCTTGCATTCATGCAAGGAAGTATGCGAGTCTGGCTTGCATGATAAATCTAAATGTGTATTCATATATCCTGAATCAGCAGTTAGATAACTTAGATTTGACATGAAAGGAAAATGTGCGTCTGAAAACTACAATTTGTTCAAATCAATGCGTATATACTACATTCTATGACTTGTTAGATTAATAAATGAATGCGTCCCTGAATCCATTATCTAGCTTGGCGTCCATTGGAGAGAAGTAGAGAACAGGACCTTATGTGACCATAGATAGCCCTATTCATTATTGTCAAGACATTTAGTAGAGGTGTGCCTACAGTGATAAAAGCCTAACTATGTTGTCTGAAAAATAAAAAGGATAACTTACCATCCATGAAAAGAAACAACTTATACAAGCATATACAAGAATACAATATGCTAGCCCTAGTTTCTGTAGCTAAAGTGGAGGGATGCATACCTGAAGGCGATGCAATAGATACATCAAAAACAAGTGAACAAAAACCTGTGAATTACTTCACAAAGTTAATTATTTCAAAATTACATGGTTGAATAAATATTAATGTTAGACAAACTGTTTCTCACCAGGTAGAAGAGTAGGATAACTCGAGCTTTTGGATACCGCCAGAGAAATCTAGTAGCGCTAACAGCTCCTGAATCTAATAGTTTTGCTGCTTTTTGCAACTGCAAGAAGCAATTTAGGAACAAAACCAAAAGATAAAAATACGATGTTGACGACAAATGCAACTGAAAAATGGAGTTGCAATGGGATACAGATCTTAATTACCTGAATGCTTGCCCCAACCATATGGCGGTGATGCAAAGGGAGAGGCCTGCAGTTATCATTTCATGAGAAAACAATGCTACAAGATGCCTAAACTGGAAAAAAGAAGATGAAAGAGATAAATGATAAAGGTTTTCGAAGTCATAAGACATTTGATGCTTGGCGATCTCAGGTGGAGGTAACTAGAACAAGTTCTCTTGCAAATTTTGTCAAGACACCAGCAGAAAGTAGAAGTATTATTTAGGCTGGTGATTCGAGTATATCCTATTTTTGACAAGTCAGGTATCCCTATGTAACTGTGTAGTTTAATAGGGTTACCTTTTGTCTTTTCACAATGGATATTCAGCCCTTTTATTTTATTTTATTTTCAGATTCTAAAATATGATAATTCCAATCCAGCAAATTCTGATACATGTGGGTTATTTCATTAGGGTCATAGTTCATATGTCGTATCAATCACGAGAAATGCTAGCAAGCACTCACAGGGAGCATCGTCTTAGCTTGGTGCAACTGAAACATGCATGGACCCATGACAAAAGACACTAAAAGACAAAGTTGACCTGCCTTTTCATGATCCACCATGTCTGTAGCAATGCTAAGTTAAGGTGGTGCATCCTCACATTGCTTGATAGCATTCCTCATGGTGGACACCAAAATATGGTCCTGATGAAACAATCCATGTGCATCCAAATTTGCTAGATTGAAATTATAGTATACAAGAAAAAAACACATATTTTAAAGAATTTGAAGCATAAAGTCTGATTAGAGAATAATCAACATACTCAAGTGCTTTCAAGTCACTGTCTTCCTCCCAAGACGATGAAGCTCGACGTGAAACCCTGCTCTTTTCTGCTTCCATCTGTTCAGTAAAAAACAGTGAATCTTATATGCAAGATAACAGGAAAGTAAAGATAATATGAATGGAGTTAGAGCTGGGGCACAACAAATTGGGTTGAAAATGACAAGACAATTTGCATCAGTTGGGTCAGGTCCTGTTGGGTTCTGGTTGAGGTGCAACCTGAGCCAGGCTGAGTTACAAATCAGGTTAGGCTATGTATAACCAACCTGGAAAATATAGGTATGTCTATTGGTATGTTCCAGGTAATTTTAATAACCACTGCCCAGTGGTGTTATGTATTTAAGATGAACAATATATTTTGACAAGCTAAACAAGAACCTGTGCTTCTTGAAGACGCTTGACCTCTTTCTCCAACTGGAATTCTGCTGCAGCCTTTTCGCTAGCCATGGCTTCTAGTTGTGTTTGCTTGTAATACTGAGTCATCATAAATCAAATATGATGTGAGAGTGGACTAGTAATATATGATACTGCTTCTGGTTAAATGAACTAGTACTGATATCTGACATACCAGTAGATCTGTTAGTTCTCGATATCGTTTCTCTAGTTCCATATGTTCCTGTCAAATGGTCGCAATATATAGGAATTAAGAACATTGAGCAAATACAGATAGTACATATGCAGGTAACATAAAATATCCAATATCTAAAAGATGAAATATAAGTCATGTATATGGCCTCACTCAGTCCTTTGTGCTTGTAACCTACAAATTTTACAGCAATATACTAACAAAAATGATAAGCTCTGCTATGCTTTTATACTATGAGCATTCTTAAAGAAAATTATGTAACCCAATTTTCTATTCCATATTGAAGAGGAAACTTACCTTTACAAAGTGGACGGTCAATATGCAGCAGCAGAAATAGGTATGGAAATCCATATCCTCCATAGAAATGTTATGCATGATGTATACAATTTGGTAAATCTTATAGTTGCACAACATTTTACTCAGTAACCCCCTAAAGAAAGAAGACAAAAAAAGTCATGTCCTACTTCTGGTAACCAATCCTAGAGAGTCCACTGTTCCCACTATGTTAGGTAACTAAGGTTAGGCATCCTTTTCTATTGAGCAAATAAATGCCAAAGCTAATCGTTAATGAGCTGAATGTAGCAAATGTGGTGGTTGAAGGGGACACAAAATTAGTGGTGTGATAGCTAAAGGATCCACAATCCATAATTTGGTGGTACCGGAGTGAAATGAAAAAATTAAAATGGCTTACCAGGAATATGAACGTGAGGATACAATGGGCGAGGAGATTGACAAATGGGATGGAAGATGTATTAGCCAAGCAAGGGGTGAATAGGACTAATTTGTTTTGGGCTAATGGGCTCAAATGTAATTTGTTTGTTTTCATATATAGAGAGGTAGCATCTCGTGCCTCTCTAAGGGATGCTTGTAATATTTCATTACCTTGCAATGAAATTTGAAGTTATTTATCAAAAATAAATAAATAAATAAATAAGTAAATAAATGTCAAAGCTAAAGGTAAAAAATAAAACATCCAAAAAGATATGATAGTCACTTAAAATGGTTAAACTGTGGAAGATCAGAAAAAAATAACTCATATTTCCTGAACCACTTCCCTTTAAATATCCTAGGCAATCCTAAATGTGCATGCCTTTATATTGAATTCATAATTGTGTTAAAGTAATCATGTTGGCATATTGTGCTGCTAAAATGTATTTGCAATTAGGTTCTATTATCAGAATTATCTTGCATATTTCTTTTTTTTGATAAGTAACCAAAGTTTGCTACTGATCAATAATAAAGATACAGCAGTACTGCTTCCAATAAGGGGGCACAAGGTGCTCCTCAAAGCAAATCAAATTTACAATTGAGCCCAAAATAACTGGTTCTTATGCCCCCTTGCTTAGCTAATGTTGGTTCGATTGGTTTAGTGTTTATATTAGTCTTATTTATGTTTTAAGTTCTTAGTTATTGGGCCTAAACTTGTTTTATTCTTTTTATGTCTAGGTGTCCCATCACTAATCAGGGGCATTCTAGTCCATTCTTGTAACATTACATTGTAAACACCTATATAAGACTCTAGGGCTGGTTGAAGTGACTAAGCCGCCATTCTTAGATCTTCTTCTTCTTCTTCTTCTTCTTCTTCTTCTTCTTCTCCGGCTGCTGTTCTCCAGCAAACATGGTATCAGAGCACTAATCGGTCTGACTGGTTACAGCCGCCTCTTTTCTCCACTTCTCTATTCCTTTTTTCTCTCTCCTATCTCGGCCACTGTGAAGAAACCCTAGGGCTGACCATAGAACACAGAAAGGTCTGTATCTAGGGTTTCCCTTGGTTGTAGGGCCCAAGGGGAGTTTGTTCCAGAAGCTGATGCCCTACTAGAAACCCTGCAGCAGGTAGTAGCCATTCGG